ATTGTTAGAGGCTGTATCCTCAAGGGGGGGTTAAAGTACTGTAAAATGATTGTCCTCCTGAGAGGGTACGTAAGTCCCAAAACATTCAAAGTAAATTTAAACTCTCCCCTTTTTAATCGTATAATATGTGTATTTTAATGTATAGATGTGTGTAAATTGCTAACAGCTGAAGGGATGATGTAAATCCAGCTAGGGTCCATGCAGGAAGCAAATGTACTGTAAGTCCCCATGGTCCCTAGTATGGTGATCTACCTTCAGTTGTTGGCAATCTATAGCCTGTTTTTACATTGTATTGTCATGTATAGTTAAAATGTTTTAGTGTTACTTACTAGTTAGGGCTCCTTGCCTCTAGGCAGGAGACCTATTGTAATCGTTCGGATTATTTATTATTATTATTATTTTATTATGATTAAAGATGAAAATGCAGCAGAGAGGGTTCGGGTGATCCTGGCACAGTCAGGCTGGTAAGGCTCATCATCAGCTCAGGGCCCTCGCCCCTCTACACGCAGCCAAGACAGCGAATGGGACTTCTCCCAGGAAACACTGCCTATTCGAACCCACCAAGAACTTTCCGGAGAATATGAAGGCTCCCCAACACTGCAGCCTTCTGCATTACCCAGAGTGTCAGAAGGGCTGTGCTCCCGGTGGAGACTCTCCTGATCTGCGCCAAGAGATCAGGAGGTACCAAACCAAGGGCACCGAGAACAATGGGGAGCCTGACGACAGTGTACTTGGGATGCAAGCGAGACATTTCAAAGGCGAGGTCCGCATATTTATCATGCTTTTCCTGAATCTTGCCAATCACATTGCTGTCAAAAGGGACAGAAAATTCAATGATATAAATAAATTCATTGGCTTTATCAAAAAGGACAAGATCAGGTTTGTTGGCAGGAATTCTTCTGAGGCTGTATATGGGCCTGTTCCACAGAAGTTTGAAAGCATCATTTTCCATGACGCCCTGGACATGTTCAGGGTCGTACCATGGATGGACCTCGGAGTCAAAGCCACAGGCATGGCGGAGACGGTAGTAAAAGCAACGAGCCATGCCATCATGTCTCTTAAGATATGCCGTTTGTGCCAAGGAAGGGCATCCACTAACAAGGTGTTGGACAGTCTCTGTAAATTCATTACACAGTCGACATTTCATATTGATATTTTCTTTAAGAATCACATTTTGGCGATTACGAGTGGGAAGTGAGCAGCAAAAGGAGGTTGATAAAGGACGTATTCCTGGCGTTTCTTCTTTCTCGATGAATCCATGTTTCGCGAGATACGAAAGTGAGTGAGTGAGTTTAGTTTTACGCCTCAATTCCCAGCAATTTCAAAGTTCCAGCAAATATCGGCGGTCTGTAAATAATCGAGTCTGGACTTCCAAACAATACAGTGATCAAATGAGCATCGATTCCAAACAATTGGGAACCGATGACATGTGTCAACCAAGTCAGCGACCTGACCACCCGATCCCGTTATTTTTGTTTTCAAGCCTAGTCTCCTTTTCAGCAAGCATGGGAAGTTTGCTCCCAAAGGACCTATTGGCTGCCTTTTTTCTTCGCGCGATGAATCCATGTTTCGCCAGATACGAGTTGTATGCGACTTAAAGGCACAATGTCACACATTTCCGACAATATTTAGGCCTATATTATATATTGATGTAATAAAAGACTTATCCCTTACTACTTGCCTGAAATCGATAATTGAAGCTTCCAAACAGAGAACACTTGCCATATAATGGAATGTAAACAATTGCTCCGTACAACCAAAACTGTCGCACGCGGTGTTATCGGTGTTTGCCGAACTGGTTTCAATAACAAGTTGTGCGTAGGATATTCGTAAAGAGCGCTCCAAGACACAGAACTCTGTGGGGTTTGCTTGAAATAATGTTCGGCGGGTTGAGGGCGCGAGAGTCGACTTAATGCAACGTTGCATTAATTCATTTGAACTTTGTAATTTGATATTGCAATCTAAATGCGTAATTTTTTAGGGAATAAATTATATGGTAGCTTTACTGAGGGCTGATAGTTAGTATTATTGAGAGAAATGTATTATGCATTTTTACTGACTGACTGACTGAGTTTAGTTTTACGCCGCTTTTAGCAATATTCCAGCAATATCACGGCGGGGGACACCAGAAATGGGCTCCACACATTGTGCCCATGTGGGAATCGAACCCGGGTCTTCGGCGTGACGAGCCAACGCTTTAACCACTAGGCTACCCTACCGCCCCATTATGCATTTTTAGATATGTGTGGTGTAATATAGTGCCTTTAAAATGTACACAAATAACAACGTCGTTACGATCTTTGTTGTTACAACAAGTCTGTTGCTACAAGTCGTTACTACAAGTCGCACCGTGAGAACATACCTTTAGCAAATCATGTGCTGGTATATAACTGTTATCAGTCACATACACGAACATAATTTCCATTGGGCAATTGCGGGTGAACCTTTAATGATACGTAATGCATGTATTGGGACGTGGTCGGGATGAGTGAGTGAGTGAGTATAGTTTTACGCCGCACTCAGCAATATTCCAGCTATATGACGGCTGGTCGGGATGACTGTGTTGGCAGATGTCTCTATGTAAATTATTCATACCCATGACTGACACATTACTTTTCGAAATGCTGTTTTTCAGTAGCCAACGTGCATTCTCAAAAGCAGTTCCCTTGGCATTGATAGACAATTGTTCTTAGCAGAGTGTTTGATCGATCGGCTCGTGCTGGCAGTCTGCATTTCCACAAATGGAATTGTTTTGTTTTCACACCATTTTTTCTGACACTAATCTTTATTATTTAACAAATCCATACTTAGTCGAATTAGTCGAGGCGAGTTTGTTTGTTTGTTGCTAAACGACGAAGACATCAATTTACTACCAAATATGGGACCGTTCATTTATGGCTTTGGGGTGTGTGGTTATGATTTTTATTGAGAAGCATGTACAAACTGAATGCCCCCAACATTTATGTATAAAGTAAGAGACACCACCCCCTGCATGTACAAAATCAATGACGACCCCCCAGTACATGTGTACATAATTGATGACTCCACTACCCCCCAAGAACGAAATGGGTGACCCCTTCAAAGTCATCATCACCCCCTTGGCCATAATTATGAACGGTCCCTATTGTCTATTTATAAGTAATCGAGCCTGGACCAGACATCCCGTTGACCAACAGTGCAGTCGTTTTTTAGATATACAAAAAGAACATTAAAATTAAGCACCCACCTGTATTTTTGCAATGATGCCAATAAAGCCACGATGGAAAAACATAAGTTTTTCTGACCCTTATGATCCTTTGACTTTCACGACGAAAATGATTAGAATCCATGTTTATTTTATGATGATAATTGCTCATTTAAAAAAACGACAACACTGATTTTCATACAAAACCATGTCTGTACAAGTATGGCCCTGGAATGTTTAATGTTGAATTTATTGGTGAATATGAGCATTCAAATTGCCATTTTGCGTGTCTTACATGATTCAAGGTCAATACAGAGTGTAACCTCCACATGACTGTATGACAGCCAGCTCTCTCCTCCTTATACCCCCCGTCACCCTCCTGATCCTCTGAAGGGGCAGTCTACGCCATTCCTCGTGTAAAAGAGCTTCCATTTGGGCCAGGTTCTGTACAGGAGGATCCCTTTTTGTTGCACACGACGACCAGTCATGTCCCAGATATTCCAAAGGGTTAAGATCGGGGCTCATTCAATCGTGAGATATGTCTGGGATGCTTAACTAAGTTCTTTGTGTATATACTGAGTCAAAAAAAGAAACTTCACATTCTTTCTTGTAATGATGGTAAGATGGTTAAATTGTTATTATTTCATTGCTGAGATCTGTGTGATGTACTCGATACACTGACAGTGCCATAATCAGTTCCATTAGGCTACACCGCCGTTCCAAAACATGGGTATACAGAATGTCAAGTCACAAGAATAAAAATGCGAAATTTCTCAATTCAATATCGTGTATGGCCGCCCCGCGCATTCACCGCTGCCAAACACCGTCTCCTCATCGACTGCCTGGTGCTTGTGAACACGTGGTTGGGGATACTGCGCCATTGCTCTTGCAAGGCAGCGCCAAGTTCCTGCAAATTCTGAGGTTGATTCCTAAGACCACGAAGCCTTCTCCCAAGTGCATCCCAAACGTGCTCTATTGGATTAAGGTCAGGGGACCTCGATGGCCAGTCCATGACGTTGATTCCAGCGTTTTGAAGGAAATTTTGTGTCAACATCGCGGTATGCGGCCGAGCATTATCATGCTGGAACTGTAGACCTGGGCCATGAGCCGCCATGAAAGGAACGAGTTCAGGGGTGAGCACCTGGTCGCGGTATGCAGCAGCTGTGAGGTTTCCACGGATGACCAGATGTCGGGAACGGTTGTTCCCACAGAAAGCACCCCACACCATGCAACTTCCGCCCCCGAATCTGTCGACTTCCTGTACACAACATTGGGCATACCGTTCACGACGTCGTCTCCGCATTTTAAGTACCGTTAGAACTGTGGTTTAAAAGTGTTTTTTCAATTCTTGAGGCCAATGCAAACACGTGCATATGAAGAAAACTTCGATGCGAAGATCACGTGATCGACTGCACGTGCAAAACCTGATTTGGCACTAACGTCATTTGCACGACGAATGGATGTGTTTGGGTGGGTTTTGCTAACGTTTTTCTAGAGTCGACAGATAGGGATCCCATTTCGGATACATAGATGTATCATCAGAGAAAAATCATTCATTATTTTTCAAATTACATTTTGTGAAGTTTCTTTTTTGACTCAGTATATTTGCGTCTGACCGCTACTGTCAACTGACATACATTACAACAAGCTATCATGGGTTAAACCTGTGCTGCTACATCACCATGTGAATACTATTTCTCAAACAATGAATTTGTTTCTTTCATGTTTCATTTTCATCTTTGCAGGTACAAAGGCACCTTTAATTCAGTTGGTGACTAACAATATATACGAAAGGTACATAGAATTGGTTGACAACAACTTTGACATCTCAAACGTGACGTCATTTACATTTGAGGTCATGGTTTGTAACGATGGATTTGTTGGTCTGGCGGAATCCTATGGAGTTCGGGACAAAAACTTCTATGAAATCTTACTTGGTGGTTATGGTGGGGATAAAAAATTTGCAGTTCGGGATGGGATTTCGGGTACTCATGGTCTTCAAGATGAGAAGAACGACCCGACACTGATCAACTGCACAGAATTTAAACCCTTGTGGGTGAGTTGGTCAGGGGGAGTGGTTTCTCTAGGGGCTGGAACCACCCCAGGAGAGTCTCTGGTAGTGGAGTGGGCTGATCCTGAGCCCCACCCTGTCAACTATGCACTGATATCATCCGGATTTGGAGCAGTAGGAACATGGAAATTGTGTAAGTGTTCAACCCCTTATGTCTTTTCTGCTATATAATGGGGTCAGTATTACAATGACGGCGTCGACTGTCACTGACATCAAAACGTCATCTATCATCCCAAACTGACTCTCACAGTAGAAACCGCCTCCGTGGTGTAGTGGTTAGAGCGTCTGCCCGGAGAACGGAAGGTCGCGGGTTCGATCCCCGACCGCGTCATACCAAAAGACGTTAAAATATGGTACTTGTTGGTCCCTGTCTGGCGCTCGGCATTAATGGGTACAACAAGGACTGGTCGGCTCTGAGTCAGTATAATGTGTCTGAGTTGGGTATTCATGCTTCACTGCGGCATGGTATCTCAATGGGCTAGCACTATAAAACCAGCTTCAGTCTGGGCTAGTACAATAGCCGCACATACACATACACACACATGCACGTCGTCATATGAGCGAACTATTCTCAAGCACGACGTTAAACCCAATTTCACCTCACCTCACCTCACAGTAGATATCGCTTGTGTGAGATCAAGCCTTACTATCCATATGGTGAAACATAACCAGTGTCATATACATCATATGTGCAGATATCACTTTTGCCTAGCAACCATTGTTTCCGGATTTCGTCGTCTGTGACGTCATTAAACAATTGAACGTGACGTCAGTGAACAAGGCAGTCACACTTGCTTACCTTTTTTCTTTACAAATGTACATAAATAAAATGGATAATAAAAACATTATTTACACTCGCAAGTGTGCCACACGACTTATGCGAAACTCGTGCAAACTTTCACACTCGTTTCGTATAAGTCGTATTGCACACTTCCTCGTGTAATAATCTCTGTATATCGCAACCATTAAACTGTTATAATGCTATTACATCATTAGTTAATGACCTCACAATGCTTTAACATCACTAAGAGCAAAACCGACAATGCTATGACGTCACAAAGTTGATGACATCACAATGCTATTACGTCATAAAGCTGATGAAGTCACAGTGCGATCATTGCTCAAGAAGCCTAATGGTAGTTTTGTGTTCATATAAATTCATTCTTTTTACTGATAACTGATGAAATATATCAACACTCGTTGATTAAAGTAACAATATCCACTGCAAGCGTCGGGTATTTGTAACTTTACTTTTATCAATTTTGTAATAGAGATTCTCTCTATATATTCATTCTGACTGCAAGATGTACAAGGTATATTATAACACTTAACGCAGGTTAGAATTGCTCTTCAGCAACCCATGCTTGTCGTAAGAGGCGACTAATTGGATCGGGTGGTCAGGCTCGCTGACTTGGTTGACACATGTCATCGTATCCCGATTGTGTAGATCGATGTTCATGCTGTTGATCACTGGATTATCTGGTCCAGACTCGATTATTTACAGACTGCCGTCATAGAGCTGGAATATTGCTGAGTGCGGCGTTTAACAACAAACAAAAGAATAAACATGGTACATACTTGAATTATCTAAATACTATATATAGTCATATGCCAATGAAGACTTATTGTGTGATCGTTGTAGCAATAGAGACATATCGGACAGAAAAAGGAATTTGATCGACCTTTTAATATGCACTAATGTTGTTATAGCGCTGACATTGTTGCCATGATATTGCAGTAGCAATAATACTACTGTTGCACTCAGATTAGCATTGCAGCAACTGTCTTGTGTTAGTGCTACAACAATCTGAGTGCTACAACATCTACGTGCTACAACAATCTTAGTGCAACATCACTCTAATGTCAGTTCTACAAGAATCTTCGCAAAACAACAATCTACGCGCTCAAAAATCTTAGTGCAACAACGCTCTTATGCGAGTGCTACAACAAACTTAACCCTACAACAATCTACGTGCTACAAGAATCTTAGTGCAACTACATTATTATGTTAGTTCTACAAGAATCTTAGCAAAAGAACAATCTATGTTAGTGCTACAACAATGTGAGCACTACAATAATCTACGTGCTACAAGAATCTAAATGCAACAACATTCTTATGTTAGTGCTATAGCAAACTTAAACATACAACAATCTACGTGTTACAAAAATCTAAGTGCAACACCACTTTTGTGTTAGTGCTACAACAATCTGAGCAAAACAACCTAAGGGCTATGCCACTCTTAGTTCTTAAACACTCTTGCACAATAACACTGTTACTCCTTCCACAGACTTTCTTCTCAGGTCATACTCATTATTGAAAAAGAGAAATACCTTCCTGGTAACTGGCGGAAATTAGATATGCTGTTTCGTTGTTTTGTATCTCAGACAACAAAAATGGCGGATGGAGTGGCTGGGCAGAGTGGGCACATTGTCGTGGTTTTCCGTCTTTGGAGCGTCGCGTTCGTTACTGCAACAACCCACTTCCGGAACTAGGCGGAAGCTGCACTGGAGCAGATGAAGAACACAAGCCATGTAAGCCTTAGAGGTTTCTGTTGAAACTGGACGAAGGTGTAAGCTTGGACATAGCCAAGTGTATATATGTATATGTTTTTTGGAGTAGAGTCATATTTCGTTTGCTCTCGTTATTTACATTTACGCCATTAGCCTTCAATTTTGCGCTTTTTTGTGTATTTGTTACGTAATAATCTCGCGATATCACGCTCACCAAAACATAGCAGATTACACGGGATAAGTGAAGAGCATACGACAGGCATATTTTGAGATTTTTCGCCCTTACATTACCATATATTTCTTGAATATTATGATGTTTTGTTTGCTAGGAATCAGTTATGAAAATGTAGTTTTTCAGGCGGAATATTTCTTTACGCACCCATTCAACTTGTATAATTTGACATGAAATATTTTATTTGTTTGTTTGGAAGTTTCAGGGGCTTTGATATGTTATTGAAACTACACATGGCCGACAGTAATATTTATCTGTCGAAAATCTGAATTATTCTTTCCTACTGAGAGAAGCTAATGTATGTGTGTATGCTTTAGGTGAAGCTTACCTGTACTGGACACTTCTGAAGCAGGGAGCCAAGATGTCTACGGCAATCAAGGCGAAGATCTCAGTAAGGTCAAAGACAGACTGTTGTACTGCCTGCCTCATGTATGCTGAATGCCGTGGCGTCAGTTACAGCAAAACTACGTCATCATGCATCGTTGCCAATCCTGCAGCTTCCTCCTTTGAAGATGATGATAATTGGGACACGTGGATCAAAAATTAAAGAAACTTGAAATTTGAGGAAAACACGAATACGTGAAACAATTAATTTATGTCACTTTGATGTTTTTACACTAAGTCACTTTATTTATTATAACCATTGTCAGTTTCATCTAATATATCTTGGTATCATTTTCTTGCTGGAAATCCATTGTTTTAGATAAAGTTGCTTTGCTGAGAACAAGCCATGATGAAAAACCCGAATCACTCTGCCAGTATGGATACATAGTTCTAAATTTTCTACATTACCATAATACTGTGTCTATTTCAACTTTCTCATTATGAAGTTGTGTAATCATAAACTATGATGGGCAAAATTCAATCGATTGAGGGCAAGATATGATTATTTCACCTTTTGAAGTTGGGTTTTGACAGATGTATCCCCATTTTTATTCTATACCTTTGTGCCTCCAACGTAAATTTTCCATCCATGGTGTCTCCAAATAGCGGTAACATGGAGGTAATGGATGACTTCAGTGTAGGAGCTGCCACTATTCCACCAGCATAGATGTCCCCCGTTTTTCTTTTATCAGGGATAATATTAACAACCCAGCTCACGTGAGGGTTTGCCTCATTATTTTCCTTCATTGTTGGAATCCTTATTGTGAGTGAGTGAGTTTAGTTTTACGCCGCTTTCTTAGTCCAGCAATATCATGGCGGGCGACACCAGAATGGGCTTCATACATTGTATCCATGTGTGAGTGAGTGTGTTTAGCTTTACGCCGCACTCAGCAATATTCCAGCTATATGGCGACGGTCTGTAAATAATCGAGTCTGGACCAGACAATCCAGTGATCACCACAACATGAGCATCGATCTGCGCAATTGGAAACCGATGACATGTGTCAACCAAGTCAGCGAGCCTGACCACCCGATCCCGTTAGTCGCCTCTTACGACAAGCATGGGTTACTGAAAATCAATATTCTAATCCGGGTCTTCAGCGTGACCGTATGTGACGAACGAACGCTTTAACCACAAGGCTACCCCATGGCCCCCTCATTGTCTGGAAACAATAAATCAGTAAGACTGAATGGGGTGGAGGAAATCTATGTGACCACTTTTGACTTTCGGAAGATGCGTTATAATGGAACGCTAACAGAAGTGGTGCCTACTCTAAATGTTTCGCTACATCTCAGAACTAGATCAACAGCCTTAAGGGAACCATCTCTCTTTGGACTAATAGTAGGCGCAAGATATTTGATTTGTAGATGAAGTCAGTTTTGACTCTCAGGTGGAAGGACACCTGACTAACTGGACAAAATCGTTCCTCGTATGGCGATCTAACCTAAGTTACTGGTGCTCTGTAGCCCCTCTTTATATTGTTTTGTCCTGCATTGTGGAAAATGTTTATAGTTGCTAGTTGTAGTTTGTATCTTTGATAGTCTAGTTGTTTTACTTTCATTTGTCGTCAGTAACATTATTTTTCTGTAAATATGGCTGAGATATTGTTGATGTGACTATAAACCCCAACTCACTCACTCATAATGAACACTTTTTGTTCAGGAAAAAATAACATATTGGCGTTGGGTATGTCACATAAAACAAAGACAAGTTACACAATGAAAAATATTCTTGTAGTGTATGGCCACTCAAAAGTCTAATGTCCATTCATAGGTTTTGTCTCTGCAGTTTGGTTTCGTCAAAGGCCTCTTGTGTTTGCCTTTAGGCAATATTGCATTTAAGTGTTTATGCAATTGTGTAATTATTCTCTTTGTAATTATGTATTTTTTGTGTGTTATTGTATGGTATAATGCTTATAGTTTCCAAGTATACCTACCCTTGGATGTTGTTATTTAAATTTGTATGCAAGTTTGTATTTAGATGTTTTTATAATTATTAATTTTATATATATGTATGGTATAATGCTTGCAGTTTCTACCTTATGCCTTCATACGAATAAATGTCTCCTTAAAAAGTAAAATATTTTTGTCATTACTGTGGGGTTCTTATTTCAGGTCATTAAAAACATTATAAAAAAACAAAACAACAAACAGAAACACCCCAACACCATTTTGTTTTCTAAAAACGCCAACTTTTTTACTGGTTTTGCACAAACACGCAACTTGTTCAAGTATTCCTGAAATAATGTGATGGTCCTCTGACGGACAAAACCTGAAAACAGTGTCAATATGTAATGTTATAGGTCTGACAATAGAAAACAAACAAACCCTGACAAACTGCCGTATGCGGTCCAGCGATACATTGTTGTAGCGTCAGTCCAGGGACATGTCTCTGCATAAATGGAAGCAGGACAGGTTGCAAAATCTGATCGCTGTACTGGGCTGAATGTAAGTTCCCTCGAACGACAACAAAGGGAGAATGTCCGTGTGCGCAAAACGAACCCCATACCATTACGCTTATGCCACCAAATCTGTCCACATCAAGGACGCAGACTTGAGCGTGGCGTTCACCTAGCCTGCGGCACAGGGGCGTGTCACGCTTAGAAACAGCGTTAATGGACCCTACCCTAGTACTATATAAAAGGAAAGGGATGTAACGACGGAACAACCCCCTCCTCAATCTAAGTTAGATTTCACCACGTAAACTATTTTTAAGGCCCCGTCGAGGCTTACGGATCGAAAGACAGATGACTTCCCTACAAAATGAGCTGTAAATGGTCATAATCGGATCATTATTTCAAAAGTTATACGCCACGACTCACCGAAAACAGCTACCTCCGCAATGCCAAGCCAAAATAATGGATCACCCAAGACAGCGAAAACTCACCTTTTAACCTTGTTGACAGCACCTATGTAGGGCTAGATTCGATCGGCAGCGGCATTCCACGGGTCTAAAAACTTATTGCAACATCTACAAATCATTTCCCCGACAGTAAGCAGACATTTTCTCCAAAACCATCGACAGTCATACTCACTTGTCGGCCATAGATGGCCTTGATATTGACTCGAGAGTAACATAGATTGATCCCCCCTTCCGTTTGGGAGCACGGTTAACTGTGTAATCTAAGAGTGACTGAGTGAATAAGATTTGAAGTCACATCGGCAATATTTCAGCCAAATCGTGATTAAAACAAATTCTACATTCATGATAAATACACATAATTTATAAAACCCTGTCAGCGAAGGACAGTAAAATTACTAGATTATAACAAAATGAGTTAAAACTAGCTAACATATATCTTTAAAAGTAAACAACTATTTTGGACAATACGATGTAAAAATGGGCTATTTATCGCCAACAACTGAAGGTAGATCACCATACTGGGGTCCATGGGTCCACTACTTTTGCTACCTGCATGGATCCAAGCTAGATTTACACCATCCCTTCAGTAATCGAAGATGTCGCAACTCGATGTGAAGAGTTCTTGCACAATTCCGCTCCTTTCTCATTAAGATGTCTGATTTGTTTAAACCGTATACGTTCTTTCATTTCGCTTTGTTGTAAACGGTCACCTCCGAGGTTCCGTCACGTAAGGATGACAAACCATGATATGAATTACTACTTTTTAGAATGCATTCTAATCCGCCTGTTTCACAAACTCTGTGTCAAATGTCTCAATCGTGGCGTGAAGTAACGTGAACGTAATATGTCGGGCGACAAAAGCCAAGGGAATTGGGGCGATACAATAACCCCAGAAATCAATCCGGCGTGACTTGGTACATTTACATCTCACCGACGTGACATGTCATAGGCCCCTGAGGGACTGTCTGCTCTCGACAATGAACATAATGTTGTTACGTATCAGTAAACATTGCTGAGTTAAGCGTAACACACCACCGAGTTTGATCACGTATTACTTTCAACTATTTTCCCTGAAAGTAGGAATACAGTGTTAAGAGTTAATGTGGTTTGACCAGAATCGTCAATTTGTGATTAACCTTACTTTCAAATACCCTTACTTTGGATAGAAAATTTTCAAAATTCCAGTTCGTCACCTGAGAACCAGAGTGTTCTATCTCCACTTTTTGAAAAAAATGAGTTAAGGATTTTATGGGTACTTCTCATGGTGTATTCTATCTCCAAATACAATTTTGTAGCTGTATCTAGCTTAGAAAGGGGTTTTCAGACAATTAACATCAGTTCTATCTCCCCAAATCAAAACGGTTTTCAGTTCCATACTGTTCTATGCCCCCAACTAATCAAAACGGTCGTTTTGGTCACATGACTTGGAGATAAGCTGCACCTGAACTTTCGTCGGATGTCACATGGAAATGGGTAGTATTTATCTTCACTTGTTCATTGTAACTCTTGTTTTCTCGAATGGAAATTTCTCGAGTGTGCAATAAGTGATAATTAACCCGTAACATTCCAATATATTAATTTGAAATGTAACGATTGATAATTTTGGAGTAAAGGCACTATTTGAAGTTTGACATGGAGATAGAAAACTCTAAGAGTATGTCATGTTTTCCTTCTATGTTTGTTGGACATAGACCATTTTTTAATATCACATATGTTTCATCTTTTCACTGTTCCTGATGCAGTCACATGTAAACACGGTTACCTGAGGAAATCATCATTGACATTCTAAGCTATGTGCCTTTGAAGGAACTACTATTGACTGTGTGTAGAGCGTGCCAATATCTGCATCAACTTATCATGAATTCACAAAAGATTTGGAAAGACACAGAATTCTATGGCCTGAAATTGACATTTAAACAGCTGCATGGTCTTTCGCTCGGTCCCATTACTTTTGGTATTTACAGATATATTTTACGGAAGTTGAAGGCCCAGTGTCCATCACTGATTATATTATAACAGTGTTTTTTAAAGCTGACAAACTACGATGGTTAAACATAAGAGAGATGAATGTTTCTACTGTTGGATTGTTTGTGAGTTTGTCCAACTTTGAACTGTTAAATGTTGAACAGTGCAAATATATGTGTGATGAAGATTTTATCATCATCAAAGCATGTGAAAACCTGGAACATCTGAATGTGAGCTTCACTCATGTCAGTCCGAAGACGTTAACAGAAATATTTCAAAAGACAAAGAGGTTGTTTCAATTTGGAAGCATTTGGAGTCAAATTCAATTTGGATAACTGCATTGAATTTTGAAGCATTGTCGGTTGTTGGTGATCTATAGCCCGTTTTTTATTTTGTACTGTCTCTACTGATTTAATTTTATGATGGTGTACTAGTTTTAAATTTATATCTGTGATGCTCTAGTATTTTTACTGTCTTTCGATGACAGTTTTTTTTGTTCTTCATTTATTGTTTTCTATATTGACATAAATTACCTTGTTCCCGTCACTATATGGCCGAAATATTGCCGATGTGACGTTAAATATTAACTCACTCACTCACTCATTTAAGCATTGCGTATTTCTGGACGATTCCTTCAGTGAAGCGGGCTTTAATTACTATATTGAACAGGAATTTGTTGATTGCCAATCCAGAATAAGAAACTGAGTCATGTCTGAAATTCTTGAACTGGATCAAATTCTAGCGTTGGTAACAGAATATGAAGATGATGAATCTGATGATAATGTTTATGAGGTACAACCGGTCATTAATATGGGAAATGATGGCAATGCAGTGTCTTCTGATCAGACCAAGAATGCATGTATTCCATCAATCCAAACAACAGAAATTCACGTGTCACAAATTGTTGAAGTTTCAATTTCACACATAAATGAATCAAATTCTGCAGATCATGAAGAATTGATTGCGCCCTCAAGATCCCGAAAA